ATCTCTCCTTGATTAAAACTAAGTCAGGCTCCTCTGAGCTCTCTCAACTGGGCCCAACCTTTGTATTTCCCTATCTTTGCATTGTCCAATTTTAGTAAGAAATTTGCTAAGTCAATTCAATTTAGCAAGAATCTCTCACCCTTGATATCTGAGATCACCCTGCCCTGCCTTCATCAAGAACCCTGTCAAGTTGATTTCGCCAGAAATTTTATTTTACCTGTGATGTTTGCTCTTAGTAATTTTCCCTTTACTCAACCCCACCCTGCTCCCTGACTATACAACCCCACTTTTCCTTGTATTCAGAATTGAGCCCAATCTCTCTCAACTGGAAAACCACACTGTAGTTGTCCCACGGAATAGTCTGTCTTACTGTTCTTTAATAATTCTTTAAAGAGTGTCAGAATGATTATTGTTTAACACTGTCTAAATAGTACACTCCCCAGCAAGGACACAGGCCTTCCTCGGAAGCTTATGAATAAATCCCTTTTCTCTGGGACAATGTGGTTCTTAAGGAATGTCACTATGAGTAATTCTCCACTTGACGGTAGTCTACGTAGGTCCAGAGTAGGCAGCCAATAAAGATGAGAAGTCATGCTGAGCTCACCAGAAAGGAGGGCCTGAAGTCCATATCATTACCAGGATCTTCCCGTTTCCCAGTCAAAATGCAATGTCTACAGCTGCCTGTTCAAAGGACGCTTTACTGATATATTATTTTGCCTGAGGTGGGTAACTGGATAAAGATGTTTTGAAATTGTTTCATGTTAAAAACCTTTGGGTCATAATTTGGGACCTTAAACACCATACATCTGTGTGCCTGGGTGAATGCAAAAAAACTATTAGAAGAATCTTGTGTATGCCCATAGGCATTAGCTCAGCCTCCTAAGAACAAAGGCTATTATCTTTCGGGCTTTCATAAACGAGGGCTAAGCAACACCTTGCTCAATGGTCTGTTAAGGCAGATGGGTCTGCAGTCAGTAGACAAAGTCTAATGATTGCACTTTTGGCATTTACCTAAGACTCCGTCTCAAATTTCCTGTCACCCAGTGGTTATCTTAAGTGAAGGTAAAGGAGACAACCTTCATTTCGTTATGAGCTCTTAGCTTTTCGATATCGTCGCACGCTTGCCTTCTTTATCGTGCTCTTTTAAAAATTGAGAATATTTTACTGTGTTTTACATATCCTTATAAAAATACATAAAATAAATAAATACAAATACTTCCACTTTTCAAAATTTCCTAGGAAACATATATATATCCTTCCCACAAATTGTAACTATTTGGTGCTAATGAGCATGGCAGAGAAAACTGCTATGTACTATGCTGTATCCAGAGCAAGGAGTACTGCATAATGCATGAAATGAAAATCCCTAGTCCAGAGCCAGAAGAAGGCTTTTTCATAGCTTGCTTAAATATTCATTTTAAATACAGTACCAAAAAAAAGTCTCGTTTTTTTCTTGATTAACCTTAGAAAAAGAAAAAGGCAATTTGTTTTCAGTAACCATATTTCAGTGAGTAGAAAAATGTTCTTTTATCATTAAGTTTCTTAATCTCTCTCTACCCCCTTTCATTTAAAACAGTTCATTTTGCCTCCTGAAAATATTCTTGGCTTTTCTGAGCCTAGAGATATTGCCTTCCCAAGTTTCTTAAAACCAAGCAAAAACAATGATAAAATACTCCTCCCTGAAGAAAAGGACTATTCTCATCCCCTCCCCCAACTTATTACATGCCTGTATTGCACTGTTAATAAACAAAGAATTCTTCTTCAATTTTTCTTTGGATGGGTATGATAGTCTTTGGCTGTATGACTCTCAAATGTGGGGAGAGATGATTATAGAAAAAAGTGGGAGATTTGGTAAAAGTGGATGAAACGTTCAAGTTCCCATCCCAGGCTAATAGTATTATTTTTGTGACAGAATGAGGTTTGTTTCATTTTTCACATTTGCTTCAAGTTTTCAGAGCTATTGGAATTCTGCAAACATTATAATCAACCAGTGGGAGACCAAGAGATGAAGAAAGAAATGAGTAACAATTTTACTAAGCCTTGAGGAAAATGGCTGAAATAAAACAAAAACTCAAGTATTCGTTGACTACCTGCTCAAGAGACTACAACAGTCATTTTACAATATATATTAGTATTGATAATTTCCTTAGGCTTTTCTGCCTAGAGAGATAGGATTTACTTTTTAAAAGCATCTTGAAGTAAATAATGAAGTTCCTATGAAAATGAGACTATGACATTCAAGGGACATTATTTCTTAGCCCAGCTACCTTGATCCCTCAATCTTCCTTGGGTCATGACCTCTAAAGTTTGGTTCTGTAGCTTTCCCTTTAGATCTGTGACTTTACCATATCCTTCCAATACATTTCCTTTTTGCTTAATTTAGTCATAGTGTCTGCGGTTTGCAACCAAAAACCCTTACTTGATATATTTACATATATTGCAATCATGTTTAATCTTTACAACAACTTTACAGGTGAGGTGAAAAATGCATTCTCAAATATTAAAGTAACTTATTCTTGGTTGTGTGAATAGTTAATGGCAGAGATGAAATACAGTTCAGATTTGTTAGGATTTATGTCTTTCTATCATCATGTTACTACAAAAATCTTAGAAGTCCTTTCTCAGGGCCACATGTTGTTTGATTCTAAGAGATACCAACCAAAGACACTCCTTATAATTTCATTCACTATAACTATCCATCTAGTTCCATTCCCTACAACTATCCACTTAACAAATATCTGAATACAGTTGACCCTTGAATGACATGGGTTTGTATTGTGTGGGTCCAATTATACATGGACTGTTTTTTTCAATAAGTAGTATAAAAGCATTTCCCCTTCCTTTTGATTTCCTTAATAACACTTCCTTTTCTTTAGCTTACTTACTGTAAGAATACAGTGTATAATATACATTACATACAAAATATGTGTTAATTGACTGTTTCTGTTGTATCGGTAAGACTTCTGGTCAACAGTAGGCTATTAGTAGTGAAGGTTTGGGGGAGTTCGAAGTTATACATGGATTTTTGACTCTGTGAGGATGGGAGTTGGCACTCCAACCTACACACTGTTCAAGGGTTAATAGTATGTAATATGGGCAAGCTGCCCCACTAAGAACAGGGAAGACAAAGCTGGTTCAGCCAGTCACTTCTATCAGGCTGCTCACATTCCTCTGAAATGCTGACTGTTCAGTTTATAGACTTAAACAGTATTGGAAGCAATATGGAAAAACACCAGAATATAATATAAAGCCATATGGTAAAGACAGGATAAGAATAATTCAGCTCATTAAATTAGAAGCAGTTTTTATTCAGTTTAAGCCTTCAGTTGGATAATTCTTCACTGCAATGACTTCTAGAGATACACAGTCACAGAGAAAATAGTTTTGATTCCAGTCTTTAAAATAAACAAAAGAATGATGAAGTAATCTGGTATCCCAAATTTCAGTCCTTTGTATACCATCCTACATGTGCACACCAGTTAATATGGTCTTTAAATAAATTTTTATTTATTGCTTTAAAGTATTTTTTTAAAAACTTCATGATGAGGCAGAAAAAGTTAACAAAAAGTGAGCCTGAGGGGGATTAGCAGGTGATTTGATCAGTACTTTGCACCACTCATTTCTGGGGACCACCCAGGCCTTCGTCTACTCCACCGGGACTGCCCACGCTCAGCCCCTAGATAGTTTTCTGTTGAAACACCCCTAGAAAATGGAGATAAGACCCGGACCAGAATTATCTGGTTTTTGGCACCTGAGCCGACTGCTGGAGTCTCCTCTTAGCCTGAACTCCGGCCTCATTATAATACAATTAGAATAAAATGAATAATATGGCTTGCCATCTCCCACTCCCCCACTGGTTTTTCTGTATGCATTCTGGGAAAGAGCATGCCCGGAAAGAAACCAGTTATATAACCTGTGCATGTCAACCTAATGACCTCAGTCTATACATCGCATCCTCTGCTGTAAGAAAATTACCTGCACTTTCCTATCTATATAAGAAAAGCTAACCTGAAGATCAGTGCAGTTGTGTGCTCTATCTAAATTCTTCTACTGCTGGCTGTGTCAGTCATTATGTTAAGAGCTCAAGATCCAATGGTAAGATACTTACAGGAGAAGATAAATTAGATAAAAATGAAGAAGATCATTAATTAAGGAAACCCAACAGATACTAAGTGCTAGACTCACAGGGAGAGAGGTCATTTTCAAGTCTCAAGAGGCCACTCCATCTCTCAGGATTTCTAGAAGGCTTATTGCCCCTTAGAAGCTGTCAAGGATTTCTCATTCCCTTTGGTGAGCACCAGTTGAAAAACAGCTATTATATAAAGAATGGAAACTGGCAGGTACTTGAATAGAAAGATAAAATAGATATGTAACTCATTTTATTGTCCCTTTCTTCCTAATACTGATCACACAGGTTTAAAAATGTAGGTGGTTTTGAAACTAAGTGTAAAGGAATTTATAGTATTCTGCAGTTTGCAAGGCTGATAATCACTAAAGCACATTGGTGAAAAAGGTAAGCCAAAAACACTCTTTAAAAAAAATTCACCCATAGAATATCAGGATTACCCTGGGGCATGGAACCTGGGAATGGAGGACAGTAGTTTTAGTCAAATATGCATATTACTAGATTCTACTATTTCAGATTCTTTGGTAGCTCTCAACCTGGATTATTATTTCAGCTGTATTCTTTTTGTATCTATTCCTATTCTTAGCTAGTAAAGATTGTTTTGCATTCATACTAAACTTATGGTTTATTCAGAATTAACCTTTCCATAATGAACAGCACATTTTATTAAAAAGTGTTGTTCAAATTCAGTTGTTTTAAAGATTTTCCTAAAGAACCCTAAAGATACTGCCTCAAAAATGAAAAATGTATATCATCTTGTTATCTAAATTCTTGAAATTAAACCGTTTAAGTAGCTGACCCAGCTTGAAATTACATGCTAAGCCAAACACTTTGATCCTCCCATGAGAATGAAAACTAATAAAATATAATATACCTGTGAAGCTTAAGGGTGACAGTTCCATAAACAGTAGCAAAACCGAGAAGACGGACCCATCTTAGGAGAATACAGCGAAATATGCTTGGCTTGAAGTACAAAATAACAACCTGTGGGATAGGAAAAGAAAGAAGCCTTCAGGATCAACTGATGAGTCACAGATTAAAATCATTATTTCATAAGCTGATGTTTAATACACATGAATTTTGACATAAACATGCATCCATTTGATTAAAACTTAAAATTTTTTATTTTGATCATTCATTATCCAAATGAGAGATCTATAGAATTTCTATTGTTTTCAGATTAAATCTAAATTCTTTAACCCTAACTTTTATGAGTTTCTATCAATTGTCTCTAAGTCTTTGGTATGACCAAACTTAATTCTCTTTACTTCCCATGGTGGGCCAGCCAGGCCAGCTTCCATTGCCTTCCATCCGGAACCTTCCTCATTCCTGCCTCCACACTTCCAGCAATACCTATCCCCTGTCTAAAATAGCCCTGAGAGGATTATCCTCTAGTGCACTGCCCCCAATCATTCTACCACTCCTTGTTTATTACTTCACTTAGTACTTGGCTCAATTACTTCACTCACTCCTCACTTCTCATTCCAGAGTTTTCCTTCAACAGACAATAATTAAGCATTTACCCTGAGCCAGGCACTATAGTACATGCAAAGGCCAGTAGGCAAGGGAAGAGAGACATGTAAACAAGAAACTGCATTAACGTAGCACAAGTGCTGTGATAAACATCTGTGCAGGTTGGGTGGGACACAAAAGAACAAGTAGCCACTTCCAGGAGGATGGTCAAAAGGCACATGCAAAGCACTGTTATGTACTACCTTTCAGATGATGCTGCGTGGTCTTGAGCAGGCCCTCATAAAACAGCAATTGGTTTGACCCTGCGTAAGGAGGCTTATACAGTGCCAAAGGATTAATGCTGTTGAAAATGTAGACTTACGCTCTTCTGCTTGGAGCAGCTGGCCTGAACTGATTTTGCTAAAAGCAAGGCCATCATAACAGAAAAATATATGCACTCCTAGAACCCAAAGTGTTATTTTGTTTTTTCATCCCAAAGATATGAATATTGGGGAACATAAAGCATAGCTGGAAAACATGGGCAGGGGCTGATAACGTCTTGCTGATGTTTTACAAATGGAGCCCCACTCTCCGGCAGTACCAACATGGAGTGACATTACATATAATTGTCTACTGGCATTCCTCAAATATGCCTACTATATAAAGATGTGAAACCAAATACTGACAATATCATTAGGATTAAATTCTCAAAAAGTGGGGAAAAGACTGGACAAAATGTCAAGAAGAAATGAAAGAAAGGTAAAAATAGGTGTGGACAGCAGATAATGTTGCCTTGAGTATATGCAGTATTCGTCCTTAACTTTCTAATTAAGATACAGATTTGATTTTAGAACTTAACTTACCAGAAAATTGTTTGGGTTCATCCCAAAATTGACACCAAAAAAAAATCTTTCTTTTATTTATGGTTTTCACAAAACAAGTTAAAATTCTGTAAATTTGTATTCTAAGTTTTAGCTCATATGTTTTGGACATAGTTCCTTTGTACAGGAGTCCAACTGTAATTATGAGTTCTGCAAAGTAAACTGGGTTGTTTACCAAGGAATCTGAGCTGATGGAATAAGGAAAAATTTAGAGAAAAAAAAATGAATGGAGAAAACTTGATAGTAGATTAAGGGATTAGAGGAGCATATGTATTCTTTCTCATGATAGAGAGAAATGACAGATTAGAAACTAGAGAGAAAGGGACCTAAACTCTACAACCAGAAATGACTTCGGAGATTTTTCTAGCACAGTGGATTCCAGGGGGTTGCAACATTCTGTGTCTTACTGCAAAGTTTTCTATTGCACAGCAAGAAGTGAATAAAGGAAGGTGAACAACTACAATACAGAAATCGGCATACTTATTTTATTCTGAAAGAAAGAATTGCTCTTGAACTGTTTGGGAACTACTGATATAGCTTCAGACTTTTATTTCACAAAAGGAGGCATTTGAGGACTTGTTACTGTAGGTGAAAGATTGAGTCGGTCAGAAATGAATGAATAACAGTTAATTTTTTTTCAGCATCCATGGATGAGGTATAAGTTTAAAAATTAACAGAAAATGAAATACCAGTGAACTTAATACAACATAGTATTAGAAACAGTTCAGCAATAGCAAAGCAGAGCTCCTAATTTTGCTGTTGGTGGTGAACAGAGACTCTGAATCCAGTCTCGCTGGGTTCCAATCCTGGCTTCATTGCTTATTATTTGTGGGTGACTTTGACAAATTACTTAACATTGCCTTGCTATGCCTCAGTTTTCCCATCTGAAAGATGCACAACAATATTACTTCTGGATGGAACTGCTTTGAAGTTTAAATCTGATAAACACAGTGCCTGGGAAAATGAGTATTCAATAAGTATTGGCTAATATTATGAGGAGAGTTGATTTATGTATGTTTTGTTGTCAAAGTTACCATTCTTACTGCAGTATAATGACATCTCATCATTTCGATAAATTCTTTTCTAATCATTCCAGCCACTCCTTTTGAATTCTTATAATCACTGTTTCACTGTATACTTTTTCTACCTCATCTTACATTGTAATTATCTGTACAGGTATTTCCCTGAAATAAATGTAATATCAGAGATGGAACGTTTCTCCATATATTCTGTGGGCTTTACACACAGAAAACATGTATATTAAATATTTGCTCAAAGATCTCGTTGAGCTAATTTAATAAAGAAAGTGTTATCTTCAAAATAAACTATTTGAAAAGTCCAATTACGGTTCACTAAAACTGTGATTCTAATTCACACATTCACTACTTATTTACTCTGTGTGAAGCAATAAGGGACTTAGAAGCCTTAAAAATAAATCAGATGCGGATATGGTCCTCAAGCTATAATTTAGAAGAGTGGATATTACATGTAAATGATAAAAATAATGACATGATCAAATCAAATATTTTATACAGCACTATATTAAGCATTTTTGCACTGTATACTCATTTAATCCTCACAATACCTTACAAAGTGTAGGGTCTTTTATTTTAAAGAAGGGGAAAGCGGCACAGAGAATTTAAGTGACACAGCTAGGAAGGGTCAGGTCTAAGATTTGAATCCAGGCAGTTTGGTTCCAGAGTTCATGCTCTTAAGAGCTACACTTTCTTCCCTCTCCAAATAGTTCTGTTGGGTGGAGGAGGTGACAAATGCTATCATACTGTGAATCTCATCATACTGAGGATGCAGAGAAAAGGGAAATTACTCTCAGTGGAAACAAAGTGAAGTTATCCTGGGAAGGTGGGTACCTGGGCTAGGTCCTGAAGGAGGAAACGGGAGGGCGCAAGGCAAAGGCATGCTTGTGGGCAAGCTCTGCACTGTGGAGTGGATACTTCCAGCCAGGAAGACAGAGAGGAGTGCTGAAAATCGAGTTTTAAAACTGAGATGGGGTCAGTTTATTGTAAGCTTTGAACAACAGGGTGAGGAATTCAGGTTATATTCCATGAGCAGATGTGCCATGAAATTTCTTTGAGTTGAGATCAGGAGTGTGTTCCAGGGAGTTAACCTGGCAGCTGCACACAAGAGGGTTGGTTGGCTATGGAAGGGAAGATACTGACAGTGAGACCAGTTGGGGAAAAACAAAACAAAACACAATAAAACTGCAAGGAAAAGGTAAAGAAGGAGGTAACTAATGCAGTGAGAATGGGAATCCAGTCATTCATGGGAATAGAGGAAAGAAGATGCCGAATCAAGAAAACTGGGCAAATGATTATCTGTTGAGGCAAAAGAGAATATATAAAGTGTCAAAGATAATGTGAAGATTTTTAAGCCTGGGTTACTGGGAGGATGATGGTGTTTGAAAAGAAACAAAAGAAGAAGATGCGTAAGTCTGGGAAAAGTTGTTACCTCTGCTTAGCAACTGCCTCACCCCACCTCATCCTCCATGTCTCAGCTAAAGACTGGCATCCGTGACTCGCCAGACTAAGTCAACTTTCCATTTTATTTGCAAGTTATTTACTTGTATTGAATTCTGAGCTTTCCTTCATCACACTCATCAGCTCTATTTTGATATCATTATTTCTGTAATTCATTTGTTGAATGTGTCATACTAGCTAGTTTGTAAGTTGCATGAGGACAAGGATTGTAACTATGTTTTCATAATTGTATGCTTCTTCCCTAGTACTGGACCTAGAAATAGTAGGTACCCAATAAATGTATGGGGAAGGAATGAGATTTAACAGGAAGATGGGAAGAAAAGAGGAAGTGGGAAAGGACAGAAGTTAGTAAGTTCATTTTTGGATATAATGAGTGCAAGCTGTCTATACGACAACCAATCCAGATCTAGCTTTGTAGTAAATAATACATTCTATAATGAGAAAAAAATGAGAGTAGGAAGTTTTAATGTCTTTCAAATCCCAACATTTCACTTTTTCTTATTAAATATAATTTACATAAATGTATAGTTTAAAAAATTATTGTAAATACCCCTCCCAAATCTAAGTTAATAAAACATTTCATAAGAGACTTTGTAAGAGAAGAAATGGAGGAAAACTAAGCCACTGAGCTGAAGAATTTATGAATGATGATTATGATACTAATAGCTATCATTTTTATGTACCAATAATAATAGCTACCCATGCTATTATTAGCTAAAATATTATGTTTGATGAAATGGGTGGATAATTTGTGAAGATTTGTTTGCAACAAGGAGAAGACATGGAAGGCTATTTCCAAAACAGCAATGCTTTTAGAGAACACAACGCCTACAGTATTCTACCACTAAGATCAGTTGATTCAATTCTATAGGCATCTGATCACTATGCTAGATACATTACATATATTTAGGGTCCAAGACATACTTTATTATCCTCATTTTAAATACAAAGAAACTGAACTTTAATGGGGTTAATAAATTGTCCATGGTTATCAAAATAGTAAGTTTTTAAACCAGAACTCATAAAACGTTCCTGTACTGGAAGAACTGCCTAAAGTATATTCTCAAAGTACATATTTCAAGGGAAAACTTTCCCCATTCTCTTTATAATACTAGAGGCTAATGATAGATAATCAAGATATTTTATTTAATGTATG